ACCTGCACTGCCGTGGTGAGACAATTCCGGCTACCCCAGCTTATAGGGGAAAATATAATCCAGCCATTCGGGCAAATCCCTCCCCTCTGCTTCCCTCACGTGGATAAGATGTGTAACTAAGGTGTACCCATATATGTTTAATGTGTTGTAATCACTCCTTTTGAACCTCCTGCCCCAAATTGCTTTGTTTTCCCCACAATAAACCTTGCTGTTGTTAGAAATATTAGTAAGCACTGAGCAGGTTATTCACTCAAAAAAGTCGGGACATAAGTTCCTGTATCCTCTATGTGAGGCGATACCCACGTGTGGATCTCTCAGCAAATCCTAATAAGTTAATACACTCCAATAAGGAGATATAATAGGTCACGGATCGTGACACTGGTAGATCACAGAGTTGTCATGGTTGGAAAAGTCCTCCAAGGTCACAGACTCCAAACATCCACTCAGGAAAAAAAACAACCAAACAAAACACCACCAGACAAAACCATAACCCACAAAACCAACACACAACCCACAAAAAATCCACAATGCCCACTAGAGCATGCCCTGAAGTGCCATAACTACACATTTCTTGAATACCTCCAGGGATGGTTACTCCACCACTTTCCCAGGCAACCTTTTCCACTGCCTGACTACTCTTTTGGTAAATAATTCCTAAGACATAGTCTAAACCTCCCATGGCACAGCTTTAGGCCATTTCCTCCAGTTCTATCATTATTCGCTTGGGAGAAGAGGCCAACACCCACCTCACTACCACGTCTTCTCAGGTACTCAGAGAGCAGTGAGGTCTCCCCTCAGTCTCTTCTTCTCCAAAATAAACAATCCCAGTCCTATCAGTCTCTTGTTCTCTAGACCCTTCACCAGCTTGGTTGCTCTTCTCTGGACACACTCCAACAATTCAATGCCCTTCTGATAGTCAGGGGCCCAGAACTGAACACACTACTCAAGATGTAACCTCACCAGTCCAAATGAAGTACCACCAGTGTTCCTAAGAGGGTCAGTACTGAAGGCAACCCTCCTTAACCTCCTTATTGCTGACCTGGACAACTAGAAGGAAAGCACTTGCAACAAGCTGCAGATTTTAGCAAATTGTTGGAAAAAATACACTGAAGACCATGACTGCCAGAGGGACCTTAGCAGGCTAAGAAAAAAGTTGACAGGAATCTCATTAAGTTCCAAAAAAAATGCAAAGTCCATTTACTCAAGATAAAGTAACCCCACACTGCAGTACAGTGTGTGAGCTGACAAGCTCTGCAGAGAAGAGCAAGATGGTCCACCACACCATCATGAACCATGAAACAGTAGCATGACCCTGCAGCAAATTGGGTATTGGGCTGCATCAGGTAAGCATACAGCCAGCGGGTAAGGGAAGTGACGGTTACCTCACACTTTACTTTTGCTAGATTGTGTCTGGTTAGTGTTCCCAGTACAAGAAACCACTGTCATACTGAAGTAAGCCCAACTGGGAGCCATTATTCGCACATGACATACAAGGAGAAAGAGACCCCGAGTCTGTCAGCAACTAAGGGCAGAATCTTCATGTTTTCCACAAGACAGTGGTGAAAACAGGCTTCTCCCAGGGGTACATTAACAGGATTAAGCTAAGCAATATAAACTAATTGCAGCAAAGGAAATTCCAATTAGATATTCAAAAAATTGTTTACAATGAGAAGAATCAAACACTCAAACATGAGAGCAGAGAGGCTCTGATGTCTCCACAAAGGAGGTGCTCAAAATGAAGTCTCAAGGAATCTGATCAAACTGGATCTATTTTTAGCAGGGAACTGAAAAAAATTATCTCTAGAGGTTCCTTTCAAACAAAACTCCTCTGTAACTTCAGTAGTGCAACAACTTGTATTACAAACAAAGACTCAAGGTGTCTCACAGCCATTGTCACATACTGCAAACTGGAAAAGCACTACCAGTGAGCAGAGATTAGTGCCCTCCATCCTCTCCTTGCTGTACTGCTTTACCATGATCTGATCAGAACATATTTTCATAGCCTGCTTGAGGCAGGCTACAGTAAATACTTCTCAGGTGATACTAAGCAGCAGGAGATGGGCTAGAGAGTTAAATCTTCAAAGTAGCAGTCAGAATCAGAAAAGAATATAGGCTATGGCTTTGCCATGTCAGACTACAAACCCATATAGTACGGGTATATGCCTCCCAGGTGGGCTGCTCAATGAAGAGCAAAGAGAGGTTACCTCAATCAATCAGGCTGCAGTTTCTGAAAGAGGGGTGAGTGTCAGGGGGACGGAGTTAGGCTTTTCTCGGTGATGACCAGTGATAGGACAAGGGGTAATGGGTGTAAATTGGAGCATAGGAAGTTCAAGGTGAATATCCGAAAAAAATTTTTTACTGTGAGAGTGACAGAGCACTGGAACAGACTGCCCAGGGAGGTTGTGGAGTCTCCCTCACTGGAGACATTCAAAACCCACCTGGATGAGTTCCTGTGTGATGTAGTCTAGGTGACCCTGCTCTGGCAGGGGGGTTGGACTAGATGATCTCTCGAGGTCCCTTCCAGCCCCTAAGATTCTATGATTCTATGATTCTATGATTCAAGTTTCATCCTGACCAAAGCCTGAAAAAGAGCGTGGAAGCTGCATGTCATGCTTGTGCAATGATACAACTGAACAAACTATCACATGGCTAGAATTATTCATATATCATTCACTTTGAAGGTAGAAACTGAAATCACCACAACAATCAACTTGACCATCTTGCAGAACTAAATAACTAAGAACTGAAGCAAACTTAGATGGGATCAGGCTCAAAGAAATATGATTCTTCTCACACCTCAGCCAACAGAAAATTAAGTATGCAGCCAAATAGGTTTGTTGTGGGTTTTTTAAGTCAAAAGGCAATTCGTACTGGAATCAGCTGTTCTCAGAAGCTGTCTAACTCTCTTCATGTATTAGGCAAGCTCATAGTGAGTTGCTATGGCCAGGTGATATCAGTCAGTATTAAAGAAGCATTAAAATTAAAGAAAGAAAATAAATGTGTCATTCACTATGATTCCTTTTCACTACATTCTTCAATATCAAAATCCTTTTTTGTGGCATTTTGATTTTATAACTCCCAGAAAGAATCTCAAAGTACTTACCTACTAAGAAACACAAGAGAGAAAAGAGACAGTGAACAAAAAATAAAAATCATAATTTTATTAGCACTTCAACAATTGCCTGGTGTTCCATAGTGAAGCACAGTTTTAAATATAACACTGGTACCTCTGAGCCAACATAACAGTATGGGGGTTTTTCCAAATACAAATGAAAAACTAATTCTTATAATAGCTACTTAGAAGCACAGACATGTTGCATACTGCAGTTAAAATACTTCAAGTTTGACAATACAAAAATTAATGCTTTAGGATGTTAAATCCCTTCAAATCCCCTTTTGTTTAGTTGGGAGGGAGAAAAAGGATTATCTTCTAGTCTTTCCTCTTCTCCCATTCACCTCCCATTTTTTGCAGACCTAAAAAAGTTGAATACAATGAAATCAACAAGGTCCATTCAAATGTAGCTGCCGTGATGTCTTAAATTAAAATTTAATTAGAAGTATTTTCCTGCAGTGTACAACATATTAATGCTTACCTGATATTTTTTATTTCAAATTATATAAAAGAGATTTGCAAAAAGGATAGCTTCTTTCATACATTGTTAACATTTCTTAATGCATTACCTGTTTACAGTGTTTTAAGTGATCTTCACATAAAAACAGAGGTAGCTAACTAGAAATACTATACTGTATGAGGTCTGTATACATGGTGTAATAAAAAATGTTTGTTCTATCATTTAATATGGATTTAATTCAAAATAGTTTGTCTTCCCCAAATATGAATGTTTTCTAACACAAGTACGGCTATTTCTATTCAGCCTTCGTCATCATGGACAGTTGCTACATTAGTATGGAAACATGATAAATTCATTTTAATAGGCAAATATTTGAGTTCCACTCAAGTACACTTAACATAATAAAAACAAAATGGCAATTTGTGTCATAATTCAATTCTTTGCTGAACTTGCTATGGGAATTTAAAAGTGCTTTTAATTAGATTAGGAAGAAGTAAAATAATCAAAACACTGGATTTTAAGTTTGGTATGTTTTTCTGTGCTGTCCAAACAATAACTTATTTACTTAGAGAAATCCTAATAAACTCCAGCATCTTACATATGTTTAGAAGTGCCTTTTCCAGCATCACAAAAATGTTAATTAACAAAGCATCACTAAATTTAAAGTAGCAAATACAGTTAAAAGTCTAAGTGGACATAAACTGAAACACCATGGTCCAAATTCTGTGAACAGATCAGGTAGGCAAGATGTTCTGCGTGCATAGAACTGGACCATATTTTTCATCAGACACTTAAAAAGGCAACAAATGGAGAAGATGGAGAATTTAGCAGCTGCTTAAAACAGTTAAGCAGTGCAAGTAAGTGTACATTTCCTCATCAGGCTTGAAGATCACTTGGTAGGTCCCTGAAATACTGTGTTTCATTTTACAGCACGTAACTAGGCACTACAAATAAAAGTGGAACTGTATTTTAAAGAAAAGTAGCTTTCCTAAATTGTTCCTGACTCACAGCATCCAAACAATCCCCAAAAGAAACAGTTCAATTTTTCTACAGAGGTTAAGCAATCCCCAAAAGAAACAGTTCGGTTTTTTTACAGAGATTAAACAATCCCCAAATGAAAGAGTTCAATTTTTCTACAGAGATTAAACAGAACATTACGTTTAGAACCTCAAATCATGTAAGCATATATTTGAATCTGCTTGCATCTATTTGTCTTAAGTTTTGATGAAATAAATAGTTGTTTTGTCCATACTGGCCAAAGAACAACTTTGATGGTAACCCAGAATACAATTTTGGCACAGTATTTTTTAGTGAATTTCCATGACAGAAGTACAGACAGTTAGAAGGAGGAAGCCAATAACGATTCAAAGATGATCATAAGCTACTAGTTTCTGCCTGTAACAGATCAATTTTAACCTAAAAAAAAGCACATTGTTGTTCCTTAAAGCATTGCCTCATGGGAGATTTAGTTTGAAGAGCTAACTTGCCCATCCTTTCATAGAAGTCTACATTCCCTAACTGAACTACATCTCCTAAGAGTCAATGCGGTCTTCTCCAAATGCCGGCTGCATTATGACAGGAAGAGATTCTTCTGTTTTCTATGACCTCTGTGACACAACTGTAGTTGCAATCATGAGTTGCATATAAATCAGTATTTAGCTTTGATATGATTCCCTGACTTTGGCCTGCAGGGCATCACAAGTTTTCTTAGCATCTCCCAACAACATGGCAGTATTGGGTTTATAGAAGATCGGATTGTCCACCGCTGCATAACCAACTCCCAAAGACCTCTTCATTACAATGACCTGCACATAAAAGAGTTCATGTTTGAAACAGCAAAAAACAACCACCATTTCCCCTCAAAGACAACACATAATCAACCTCTATGAATGAAAGCTGAAGAGAGCTCCCTGGCCAAAACAGGGTGCTGACTCTTTCAATACCATATCTCAAGTTTTAATACAGCAGGCAAATTGATATGCAGACCAGTTTCAGAAATATTTTACTGTTAAACACTGTATTACATGCCAGATGAAGTAGCTGTGAACACTTCACAGGCATATGCTCTTACTTTTTTTATTCATGTAATAAAGTCAAAGCAAGACAGACACGGATTATTAGAATATAAAAGGTTTTTGAGGTTTTTTTGGTTTTTAAATATTTTAAGAACCCTATTTCTTGACCACAGCACAATTCAGATGGGTGTCCACATGAATACTTGGGTGCAACACTCTCTGGTACTTCTCCAGATTTTATACATGGCATTTTGAAATAAATGAACAGAAATCTTAAAATACATTTCAGCCCATTTTAGCTATTAAATATCAAATTAGTTAAGCATGGCACCTTCATCAGAGAAACTGAGAAGCTTTACCAATGTCAATTACATATTTATTTCTCCAACTGCAACACATAGCTACACACAAAAAACTGATGAATATAAGTGCCTGTGATTGAGTACTTGAACAACTAACTCTTAGAAGAGCTAAGGCTACAACTGTGTTCAGAACATGAGTCAAAGATTTCACACCAAGGAAAATTAAGTATATGTACTGTAGATCAGATCATACTCCTTTCAAAAAGCAAAACTGGTGAAGTAAATAAACTGTCAGTTCAGCCTGGACCGACTGAGCTTTCTATTCAACCCAGATACTCTTTTTTTTAATGAGGATATATTATTAATTTGTGTACTTCTACCTCAATATTAAAGTTGTCAATCAAGTTATCTATAAACTTAGAAAAGCAGCTATTTGCTCAGACTTGCTCCTGGGCTGCAGATGTGAGCAGAACATCATTTATTCTCATCCTGTGTTTTAGTAGAAGCACTTGGATTGGTCTTTCCTACTGCAGTCATCATTAGTCTCACTAAAGCACTTCCTGAAAGCGCGTAAAAATCATAAACATTTCATTACACTTGCAAAGCACTGACTGGTTTTTTGGACACCTTGCAGAAAAGCTTTTCATGGAATCTTCTTAGCTTACCTGTTTTTAAAAGCATGCTACTTAAGGTAATCGCTAACACAACTCTGTTGATCTCACCTGTTTGGACTTCCAGACCTCAAGAACTGGCATTCCAGCTATAATAGAGTTTGGATCTTCCTGAGCTGCTGAATTAACTGTATCATTTGCACCAATTACAAGGACCAAGTCAGTATCTGCAGCAAGACAAAGAAAACCAATGAAAAATTAGCTGAAATTTGAACACTGAGACTGACGTACATTTTTTTGTAAAATCTGATCTTTGAAGGGAGAAGAATCCCTTGTGGTAAGCACTCTACAAATAATTAAGGAAACTTCATTCACACATATTTCACAAACTGTATTTGAGTCCTAGCAGGCTACCACCTCCAGCAAACGGCAACCCCATTTTAAGGGTCACTTTAGACACTCTGTCACAAAAAAGTGAAATCCTTCAATATTTAAATGAGGTTTCAAACACACAGAGTACCATCACCTTCAAATTTGCGTCTAGCTTTTCCTTCGCATATTCTTTCAAAATATTTAAGAAACCAAGAAGTTGTCTGTACAATGCTTTACTGGTTTGCAAGACATGACAGAGTCAAGCCATCCACAACAACTGACCCAAATAAGTAAGTTTTCCTGTATGAAGCAGTGACAGTGATGAAGGCACAACATTTGTTGCTTATTTACAGCTACAAGCAATAAAACATTATTATCTTGGTTCTGGAGGAAACAAGTTTTACAGACTATTTTAACTTTCCTGCAACTTCTACTCGTTGCTGTACTCCTGCATGCAGTATTTCCCTTTGCTTTACCTGTCTGTACTCTCTGCTTCTCAGTTTTCTGCTTCTGAGTCAGGCTGTTTTTTTATTCCTCTGTGCTCACTTGTCACTCGACTGGGAGAGCACTCGGATTGCAAGAGGAAGATCTCTGCTCCTCTACAGTGGTATCATAGCAGGCAGAAAGAGAAACTGAATGGCCTGAAATTTTCTAATTTTAACTGTCTTGTGCAACATAAAAACAGAATCAAATGAAAACTGACAAGACCAGATCAAATCTAGTGGAAACTTATAGCTCACATGCTAACCTGGGAAGTCTTCATTGATCTCATCCATTTCCAGTACAATATCATAGGGAACACCAGCTTCTGCTAGTAGTACGTTCAGCTGACCAGGCATGCGGCCAGCCACAGGGTGAATTCCGAATCTAACAGGAAAGACAGACCAACCCCATTAATCAATATTGACCACTCTGTTTTATACACTAAAATTGCTGCCTTGAGACCTACAAGCCTAAGAAGTTCTTAAGCGTAAGCACAGATATGAACGAATAAAAGAAAACAGTTTAATCTTAACAACAAATGGTCATTATTTTTCATGTGTTGCAGGGAGCTGAGCGGATGGGAAAGGGAAGAAGGGACATAGATTTGACTCTTCACTTGGAGAGCAGCTATTCCTTTTCTGCAAAGTATAACGGATACAACAGGTATGCAACAGAATATGCCTACTTCTCAGTAAAACTAACAAAGCTAGGAGTACATTTTCAATCCTTCCACCACAAGAAGACTCTTTGAGAAAGTTGTTTGCACTACCTGCAAAGTAGCTTTTGAGTTAGAGGAAATACACTGCTTGTAAGTTACTAAAAATTCAGAGAGAAACATAGGGTTGGCAGAAAGGGGTGCTAAGGCATGCCTGCAGCTCTGTAGGAGTAAAAACCTGACAAAGTTCAGAAGGAAGATTTTAAAACCGGCTTAGCTGCAACTCCCAAAGACCTGTTTTGGTTAGAAGCAAATCTATTTATTGTGGGCTGATAGTACTCTACTGCTTATCTACTGGTCCTGAATAAACTAGGCAGATCAATGTCTACTGTCCAGTGCATTTTTTGTCTTTCAAGCTCTGGAATCATCACAAAATATAACGCTGACTCAAGCACACCAGAAATGCCTCAGATTCATGTTGTATATTACTGAAGTTAATTGTTTAATAAGGAAGCTTTCGTGTACCTTGGAGAAGACAGAAAATATCCTAGAGAAATCTGTAAATTCTTGGATTACTTAAGAGAAATTTCTGAGCAGAAATCCAGGTTAGCCAGAAATGCTATAAAAGGACTTCAGACTCCTTCAGAAAGGAAAGACAGACAAATCAGTTTGCCATGATGGACTGTCACATATTTCTAATTTCAACTCCATTTCAATGGAAGTGGGTAACACATCACTGATGCTCCACAAGTCACAGTTCAATCAACTTATGAATTTAACACTGTAAAAATACGTCCTTAAAAGGGCAACTGAGTGCTCCACCACCAGCAAGACAACATTAAGACAATGCAAAGATGAGACAATTGGAACTCCAGCAACAAATTAAGGACATATGATTACTCCACTTAATACTAGATATACTAAAATCTTAAGCTCTAGGTCAAACAGCAGCATAAAAACTAGCTTTAAAATAAGTGTTTTTAAAGAAACCAAGAATTAGAAAAAGAAGAACAAATATACAGGTCAAAACATTAAGAGTTTACGTTTCACACCACTCACTCAGTAATATAAGCCATGTGTAGTTATAAGCCATGTGTAGTACTGCAACTAGTCCTTAAGAATTGCAAATTCAATCATTTGCAGTACCATAGGAGAACTCTTATTCTGAAGTACGCTTGAGAAAATCCATCACTCCTCTGGCAGTGGAAATAAGATTTTCCAACAAAATCCTCTTTTGTTTCTAATAAAATTATTTGAACGTTTTTGTGACCAAAGCTGCTTTGGCAGTACACAAAACAAAATACTAGTGAGGTTTCTATTAAATACTATATACACATACAATCGTATTTCAAGAGCAGGAAAGCCAAAATTTAAGCTGCCAAGAGAATGAATTTCACCTTTAACTTCACCACTTCTGGCAGAAGGCAAAGAAAGAAGAAAAGAAAGGGACAAATTATCTTTGTTCAAAAGAGTTATGGCATCAACCATCAGTAGTTAGAGACTTCTGACAAACCCTTCTTGGAACCACATACTGTGTATTCACAAAGTTTAAGAAAGTTGCTCATACAAAAGCTTTTTGGACAAATATTAAAATGACTCCCAGAAGTCTGCTTCTAATAGCCTGTTAACCAAGTATGACAGTAGCCTGCCAGTACCTCTTGAAACTGGATGTGCAAGTGTGTCAAAATTCATCATTAAAAATATCTGCCTCTCTCAGGCTTTCATTATTTCACACAATAAAATCGACAGCTATCTGGAATGAAGTTAATTAGCCTGTCCAATTGAAAGCAGAATTCAGGTAAGCATGGAAAAGACACAGCTAGAATCATTGATGGCTTACAATATCTAATTAAAGCTGTGTATCTTGCTCCTGATTCACAATAGCAGCAATTCTTCAAAGCTATGCATATTACAGCAGAAACATTTTGTCCCATATGCTCGCCTAGATTTTGAAAATATGAATATCATTTATCTTCAAAAATGCAACACACAAAGTATTCTAGGAGACACATGCTTTATAGCAAAAACATCTTTAAGTAAAAAACTGCTAAGTTTCTTCTATATGTTTTTAATATCAATTATGCAAGAACTCCCTCATTCTGTTGGTTTGTTTTTACATCAGAAATCTCGCACTCTTTTTGACTTTCTGTTTACATGACAACAGGTATTCAGTCTAAGTATACTTTGCCCATAACAAAGATTCACAATCATGCTCACTGTGTCTGGCTTGAAACATTATTATAGTGAATATTATAGAGAATCCACCAGGAAATTTTTTTCCTGGGCCTGACCCACCATGTAATGTGCAGCTCCCTGATCACCTCTAATTGTCAAGAGACACTGAAGTGAGCATAGACCTCCTTGCTACTAAGACTTCACACCTAAACAACATGAGTACCAAACAAAGGTATTCAGCCTTTTTAACCAGTTGCTTTCAGACACTTTTTAGTATTAGAAAGACAGCATAGCACTCTCAAAAATTCAGATTTTGAATCTTTTCTTGTTCTAGAGAGTGCAGTATTTTCTTTTAAATTTAAACTAAAAATCTAAAAGTTCTGATATACTAGTCATACCTAGACAGCACTTTCAGCACAGAAAGCATTTGAATTCAGAGAGGCAACAAGCTACTTAAAGTAATGTGAAGCTAATTATACTAGTATGAAAAAACAACTAGTGCACAAAAAATTAATGAAAAATCTCAGAATGGAAACTACTTCTTACACCGTTCATAATGTCAGCATCTATACTACAACTGGCTAGATCACATTCTTGTAATCAATACTGAATGAGCTAGCACCTATCTGAGCCAATGCTGAAGTGTTTCAAGATCAATTAATTTATGTAAAGACACGGTTCCTGTCATTGTGCCAAAACTGCACAGAGAAATATAAGTAAAATCTGGCTGGTATGAATGTAGCTTACCCAACACTTTAGAAGCTGAATGTATACACAGAGAATATTCTGACCAAGAGTTTTGTCTCATCTCTTCTTTCCCCATCCCCAGCCCCATTCATTTAATGTTTTGACCCTTCTCTATCTTCTTCTAGTACAAACAGTAACCCTTTATCCAAGGTAATAGGAGAAAAAAACAACCCTAGCTTAACAAAAATGCTCATCATTCAGATATTCCCCAGCTTTAATCCTGCCATATAACAACAGCTGCAGTTTAGCACAACTTGTAAGTATCACAATATAATGCTTTCATCACTCACGGATAACTGTGTAGATCACTAGCATCAAAGCACATAGTTAGCTTAGCTAGCTTACGTCTGGTGTCATGCCTTAGGCAACATCCCCAGAAAAAGTACTTCAGCATGGACTAAGCTCAGTGGCTTTGCTGTGGTCAGGTGAGCTAAATTTAAACATAATTGAGTTAGTTAAATTAAGTATACTTCACTGAGGGTTGGTACTGGCTCCTTATTTCCAACCACTATGGTTTACCACAGCAGAGCCAAGATCCAAGCACATGGCATGGACCTCAGGTCAATGCAAAAAACCCTCCCAAGAACCAAGCTGCAGGGAAGAAAGAAGAGCCTGACTCCACAAAACATCACAAACGGACTTAGAAAGGTCACTCATAGCTGAGGTGACCCATATGGAACCAATTACATACCTATAATACATCCTCAGAAGCACACAGCTATAGCCACATCCTTGCAGAAGCAGATCAGGTACAGAAGGATCTGCTAGTTCTCTCTTGCGACACCAGTACAGCACTCAAGCTAACAGATCTGGTGGACTCCATTTCTCCCTTCATCTGCAGCATTAGTAATTGAGAACCTACCCAGATGATTTGACTATATGAAAGAAGCTGAGAATTGTCATGCACAAACTTAGTGTCTGGCTAGTAAGCATACTTTAGCTTCCTAGAAACTTGGATCAATGCATGTTGTTCTTACACTGCCATTTAGCAGTGACAGTAATTTCCACCTTATGCACACTTGAGTTATGTATGTGAAGACTGGCTGGGGCTGCATCTTAAGAGCTCAACCTTTAAAATTCTTCCAGATTTTCTCAAAGATTAAGAATAATGACTGTAAATTGATGTAATTTAACAGCCAAACTCAATCAGTTTTATTTATTAAGTTGTAGATAAATGTGTTTAATGTGTAGGTGGTACCCTTCCACATGTCCTATTACTCATGATGAAGAAGTACAGAGAAATATAAGCAGAACCCTAAAAATACTTGATTAGAGCTAAGCCACAGAGGTAACAATAAAGATTAAAAAGTGCACATCCAACATACAATCCATACTATTGCATTTTCTAAAATGTAAGAAACCTGTTTCCATGTCCTCAAAAGTGGTCAGATTTCCCAGCATCAGAAGACAGAAATCCATGGCCTTAAAGATATTCCCCTATATAAATTAGTTTAAAAAAACAAAACAAACAAACAAAAACACCAAACCCTCACATATTAACCACCATAATTAAAAGGCTCTTAAAGCAGTAATCAGTACTTCTCTCAACTATGAGTTACCAGAAAAATCACCGTATTTAATGCTGAGTTAGAATTAGAAAGTCTATAAAAAGCAAATTTTTAAGAATCCTTTCAACCTCCAATACATTTTTCCTATCAGTAATTTTTACTATGCAGGAAAACGAAACGCATTGTTAGAAAAATTCTTACAGAAGTCACACTGTGGCAAAAGCTAAGGTAGTTGTCTTGATGTGGACATCCACAGCATCAATTACCCATGCACATACAAGAATGTATACAGTTTAAAACTGTACTAAAACACTACAGAATTCTATATCTGTATATAGAACTACTACAGAATACAATTTAATTATCTAGAAAAAATCAGAATCTCAAAACTAGAGGCCAACAACCAACACAGTGTGTTGTTGAATAACTTTGGTAAGGCAAGAACTTTCAACAATTGACTCAGTTTTAACTTTGCAGAAATACGACACCAGTTGTAGAACAAGCATTTCTATTCCAAGGCCAATGGAACTAAGGGCCTATAGGATTTAACTTATTAAAAGTTCTGTTGTTTTACCCAGCCTTAACAAGAGAAAGCTATAATGACAGCTCAGCAATAACTAGTTTTCTATGTGATCCTACTAATGCATTAAAGATGTGATCTGCTGGAAGACCATCTCAAGTAAGCGATGATGTTAGCTATGCAATTTAACAACTAAACAGTCTTCAGTTTCTAAACTCTCCTGTATTTCTGAATTTAAGCCCCAGTCAAAGGTTATGCATCATGTTATATAATCTGTGCTCTTCACTGACAATGTTATGGCTATAGGCAAAAATAAATTAAAACAAAAGCTCCTTGGGATCAATCATGAGCCATGAAGCAAAAAAAGACCATATGACAGACGCAATTTTTCTTGGCTCAGTATGAGGTTTAAAAAGTGATGACAATCGTATGTCCACGCTGGCACCCCTCCACTGCAGATGAGTGAGAGTGTCACTACATCTGGATGGTGAGTGTACGAGGGTCCCGAGGCACTCTAGGCCTACTGAAACCAGAGGGACAGCAGCTGCACTCAATGAACACCGTGGGAGCTCCGCAAAGTGATGAAAGGCCTGAATTACCACAAACTGTAAATACAGATTTATTTCATTAAAATACTAGGTAACCACTGCAGTGATCCCTTCCTGAAATTGACTCATTCCAAGTATAAGCCAGCTATTTCAAGGATTCATTCACATTTCTCCCCTGCAAAGCCAAAATAAAAGGAAAACCCAACAATCTTTTATATCACCACCAAGGCCGATTAAAAATTAAGCTTGTCCCCACAGAAGCACTGAAGGAAAGCCAAAAGCATGCGACACTGTCATCACATTAGACAAGAAATGCTCTTTTGTTGCACAACTAACAGGTCTCCAAAATTTTTAGAAGAGTAAGAAGACAAAGTAGACTACGGATTTTCAACTTAAGAAGGGCATACACCACTACAGTGTATGTAATTCTTTTTTGCATTGTTTCTAACATGCCAATCAGAACTAGTTTGGGGCTTTTACATATAGAAATGTTGCAGTGTAGCAGTCAGCATTACTTCAATGCAAGTCAGTTATCCCTTATTATAATTAAATCCCATGTTCTTGGTGCAGAGGCTGCTACCTGACCAACTTTTCCATTTCATACCAGACTGACCCCAACTAACACTTCTCCATACTGCAGAAGGCTCTAGTATCCTGCCTAAGAGCCTCAACTTTCCCATTTAACCCCTTTATTCCCTAAACGTTTCACAAGCAGAGAGGTTCATTTACTTAGCTATCTAGTACTAAAAATATATATACTAAAGCTATTTAGCCTAGTAAACAATTCCCCTTAATGGAGGTAACTTAATGCCTTCCTTTAGGAGGAATTTAAAGCACCTACGTTAGGCCTGTGCTCTCTCCCCATTGACTACAAGCATAAAGGAAAAAACATTTCTCCCTGCTTTCCCTGCACTGAAGTCAGCTGGTACGATTACTCCTCACACTAACATTCCCAAAGTGTTTGTTTTCACAAAGCTCTCCAATCTCCACCTTTAGAAAAGGTTGCTAACTGTCTTCTTGAATTTAATACAAAAAGCTACATTAAAGTTTTAATTTTTAAAAAAACTTCATTACTTGTTTTGTACAAAAGTACTGCTGTATCTAAGGCAGAGCATATGTATCTAAAGGAGTTAACCTAGCTTTCAAAAAGTAAGGCTTTGTTGCTACAATAAAGAATTATTAAATTGTAAAGCCATTGTTTTTAACTGAACTTCACCTTGATACTAAATAAAACCCAAAAAACAAAAACTCTCCAACTGCTGGGGCTACTTCAAACACCCAAAAGTAATAAGATTGTAAGGAGTAAGGTTCTTAATTCCTCAAAACCAAAAAGAGGTAAAGATACAGCTTACACTAAAGCATGACATTTCTAGATATTCAGCTGTAGGTCAGTAAGACTAGAGCTGTCTTCCAGCTAATATTCTGAAAGAGAGATCAGTGAATTAATTACTTCCAAAGGAAAAATTCAACCAAAACAGACTTGCAAGGGATTTTAATGGAATGGGGGAAAAAAACACCAATAGAATAACAAAACTATAATACTTCCTATCAAGGAAAGTACTTACCTGACATTCTTCCCTTGTTCTCTCAACATCTTCACCAGATCAGCTATGGGGTACTGAGCTTTTGCTGCACACAAACCATAACCTGAAACAATTTCCAAATCTTAAGTTATTTTTCTGTGTGCAAACAGAATTGTTACAGACAATACATGTACTTTCCACAAAAACAGAAGCTGTCAACTAAAACTAAATAAATCTACAAATAATATACATAGGTAAATGTACGTGTGTATATCTGATCCTCATATACTCCCAGGGGAGTTTCAGCATGACTTTATCATTTTTGTCCTCTGATGAGTAACAGTATAGTTGTTTGACCAGTCAAACTACAAGTAACTTATTTCAGCTTCACAAAAACAAGTGTTCCTTTTTTCTAACACAAAATGATGTTTCAGACAGGGACACTGAAAAAATAATGACAAGACTACTATCAGGTTACTTCACCACCATATCCTTAACTAAATTTTGAATTTGCATAATGCAAATCCAGCAGTTGAATATTATTTTTAGTAGCAAATATTTTTTTGCAGTCTTTTTGTACTAATTAATTCATCAGAATAATGATGCCCAGGAAGAAAATACAATGTATAAATTAATGGTGTCCTCAAGGTTTGACCACAAGAGCAAGAGGCAAAATCCCTGAAGACATTTGCAACCTGTGTTGGAAACCAAGGTAACTTGCCAAATTAGAACTCTATCTTACTGATGTTTTAATTTAAGCTGAATAAAATGAAAGACATAAAATGAAAGCATTCTTCTCAGTCCAATGGCAAAACAAACTTAACACAGTAATTGTGCCATTCAGTTGAAGGAAAACAAGTCTTGAGCTATTCCCTATTTGACCTGTCCTAAGAGGGAGAGCACTACTGAACCATATGAGCCTAAAGCCAACATAATAGCTTCAGACAGCTTGTGGTTTTGCTTGCCAGGACTTTCTCTACTTTAATTCCAGTGTTTACAATATACAATGTTTCTGCAGTTTTTTTAATAAAACAATGCTAAATTGAGCTAGTAGATAAGCACAAACAACATCCTCTCTTTCAGTAACTTAAAAGACAGGTATTTTCTTACTGGTATCACTGGTGCTGTAGTAATTCTTGAAAACTCACCCTGCAACAGCTGTACGCAAAATTAAATGTAATTTACAAAAGACAGCCTTTGTCTTGAATAATTTAAAATCTAAATAAATAGGACAAAGTTTGAAGAGACACACACAAGAAAAAATAAAGTGACATACACCTGTTTACACAACGGCATGAGTAACCCGGGAATAAAAATAGATCCCACAGACCTAGTCAACACTTAACGTGCTGCTGCTATGTTGCGGTTGCAAGACAAGCTACAGATTTTGTTTTGATGTGGGTTTTTTTTTTGCTTGGGTTTATTTTAGTAATACATCCTCCAAGCATCTTGCTGTATGAGTCGAGAGTGTCTTACCTGGAGTAATGATAATATTACTGGCTTCCTTTATCATTTCAACTGCATTGTCCACATTTATTTCTGTGTGGGTTCCAGTAATTTCCATGGGCTTCCCACCGGCTGTTGATGTGGTGCCATAGCCCCCAAGAATCACATTTGCAAGGGAACGGTTCATAGCCTGAAAGGCAAGAGGGTTTTTATTAGCTAAAAATTAAATCCAAAAATAAAGATGTCCAAAAAGAAAACTTCTGAAAATATTAAACTCTTCCTGATAGTAAGTTTTATCTGCTGGTTTTGTGTGCTTACTACTCAAAATTTCTTTAAAAAGGTTATTTAAAATAAAGACCCAGATTAACTCAACAATACCCAAACATCAGCTTTTAACACATGACATCACACATGTAATGACAGAGTATCAACATTACCCAAGACAAAGAACAAGACAACACAAATAGCAAACACTGGTCTCCTTTTGTTCTTAAGAGGGAACAAAATAAAACAATGCACATTTGAGGACAGAAATTTTTTTTTTAACATTTATATACCCACACACACAGTTTCTGCAAAGTATTTTCCCAAGTTCTTAAACAATTCAACATGTAAGCACAGAGCAGCTATGTGACAGCATGAAAACCAGGTAGCTCTTCCAGTTTGTACAGAAGCAAAGCTCCTACAGCATCAAGACAGGAAAGAACACAACAAAGCTAAGTAGCCACACAATACTAAGCAAATGCTAACTCAAAATAGATGGAAATGAACTGAAGGGGGCCATTAACTTACTGGCTGAGCACCAAAGGGGAATAAGAGATCTTAAACTAGGAGCTTTAAGAAGAGAACATCCTGAAAATTCAGCTCTGTAGATACATAGCCAAGAAAAGACGCTGGCTAAATGCCTTCACTGGCATGTCTTCTTGTGAGTGTGATCCCAAAGTAACGTCTGGCAGTATCTGGTATTAAGTATATAAGTAGGTGAAACCTGTAACTGCAGTAAACAAAACTGTAGAGCAGGAAAGGAACAGAATAAATTGCTTCTTTTATTAAACATGTGTGTCATACATTTGCTGTGCTTGCTCAAAAACCACAGCAAAATTTAAGAATGCATCTGGAGAGGCACACATACAAGCGAGAGGAAGCACTCACAAAAAAGTCTGACTCCCAAGTGTCTATTTTCCACCAATATTTCAAATCATGAAACTCCACAGATTCGCTATAGCCTGAGGAGGTAAGTCATACTGTGAAGCTCATTATCTAACAAATACGATGAAGATATTGGAAGAACATTTGTTTACCCTGATAAATCATCACTGTTTCAGATACTGGAAGAAAGCCACACAAATGCAGTGAAACAAGCATCTTTCTACTGTCTGCAGTGAGCACTAGTTCATATTCTCTAAGAAGACTCTGCCTTTGATGTGTATCACAATCTTAAACTCTCAGATAGGAAAACAGACTACTGAGTGTATTACAGCAGTTGTGTAAAGTAAGACATCCTAAGCAGAATGCCCTCCTCAGATGTTGCACACACTAAGCTGACAACAAGTAAAGCACTTTCTACACATATTGAAACCAAAAAACACCACTAAGGCCAGGCCAAAAGAAAAAATGTTCAAATATTATTTGAAATCCGAGGATCCACACAAAGCAAACATGAGATTGAAGCACCCTTGCCTTCCTCCACACCAGAGGGCAAGGAAAGAACAGGGAAGAGAATCCAAAAAGGGAGTGCTACAGAAGGCTTCAAAATGAGCCAAGACCTCATCAACCCACAATTAACCAATACAGCTAAGACCTGCTCAGCACAGGGACAGCATGGAAACTCTGCTATATCCTCCTTCACTTTCTTTACCACTATAGACCACAAACGTGAATAAAGCAAAGGTTTTGCCATTCACAGACAGTCCAACCACCAGCAAAAAGCCCTCTCTGTAGTGCATACACAGGTGATACTGGCCAGTAGCTTACAGCCCACAGAAAACCAGACTCTTGATCCCTAAGAACTCCAAGTCCTTCCAGGTAAGATACTGCTAGTACAGGTAATGGGCCAGCATGCCATTTTTAAGATTAACACACTTTGTTCTTTCTCTTGCTCTGTTTCATCACACTAAGCAATGGCTCTTCTTCATTCTGAAGCATTCTCCCTACCCCCAAGCATACCTATGATGATCCTACAGTTGCAATCATCAACATCAACATCATCAACTCTGGAAAAAAAAAAAAAAGGGACATGCTAATATCATAAAATGTTCTGAAAAACATATTACTTTAGCATTTCAGAAAACACAATGCACAGGATGAGTGAACAGTATAGGCCTTTGATTTTTTGTTTTAATGTTAAATTATTTGACCTAAACTCACCCTAATAAGATACACAAAAGAGGAATGGGTGGAAAATCAAGCAGATAGGACTGTAAAATCTAAGTGGTTATCTGAATACATGTTGGCCAATTTTATCAACTCAAGCTTTAAGAGATTATCTGGTTAGCCTTTGGATAATTAAGCTACAGCTGTATCAGAAAAAGCAATTGTACAAAAATGTTGTACAAAAAAAAATAGGTTTCAAGCATTCATGTGATTCCACAAACACCTTAAAATCTATACTAGATAAGCTTCAATAAATACACAGCTTTGAGTGGAAGTCATACTGCAGGGAGGGGCAGGGGTCTCAGAATGAGGGGAATACTGTTGCTTCATTAGCACAGATTGCTACGGGCTAAAGCAGTCTATTGAAACTTGAGCATTTTTTCTTCTGAAATGCAGCTTCAAGACAATGATACTGAATCCCTCAATTATAAAAATGCTTTTATTAGTAATCATTTCCATTAAAGGAAGTAAAGCAGAACAGAAAAATGCTGAGAACTTCTGCTCATTGTGCAGAAATTATACAGAATAAGTGTACTTTTACTGGCTGGTCAACTTTAATTGTCAAGACTTACATAAAGCAGCTAAAGATTTCTAGACTACTATTTCAGAAAACTAAACTTCCTGAAATTTCAGAAATACATACAGGAAAGCCACTTCGTCACTGCGATTACATAACTATTTTGCTAACGACTTGCCATTTACCTAGATTCCTCCAAAATAGTCTCTCAAAACTCTTGAGATACTCACAAGATACCCTGAGATACTTGCAAGTATCTCAAAACTTTGAGAGAGCTGAGAGGAGTTTTTGATACTGTCTCGCATAACATCCTCTTAGGAAAACTCAAGAAATGTGGGATAGATGATTGGACTGTGAGGTGGATTGAAAACCAGCTCAACAACAGAGTTCAGAAGGCACAGAGTCAAACTGGAGGCCTGTGGCCAGTGGCATTCCCCAGGGATCAGTACTGGGTCCAGTTCTGTTGTGTGTCTTTATCAATTACCTGTACAAGGGGAGAGAGTGTATCCTCAGCAAGTTCACTGATGATATCAAAGTGGGAAGGGGTAGCTGACACTCCATAAGGCTTTGCTGCCATCCAACGAGAACTACACAGGCTAGAGAGCCAGGCAAAGGTGAACCTCATGAAGTTCAATAAAGGCAAGTGTAAAGGCATCTGGGGCCAAATAACACCAGGCAACAGTCCAGGTTAGGGGTCATCCTGCTGGAAAGTAGCTCCATGGAGAAAGACCTTAGAGTCCTAGTGGTCAGTAAGTTATCCATGGAACAGCAATATGCCCTTCTGGACAAGTGGGCCAATGGTATCCTGGGGTGCACTAAGAAAGTGTGCCCAGCAGGTCTAGGGAGGTTGCCCTCCCCCTCTAATCTGCCTTGGTGAGACCACATCTGGAACTCTGTAACCAGTTTTGGGCTCCCCAAATCAAGAGAGATGGGGATCTACTGGAGAGGGTGTAATGGAGAGTTCGAGAATGATTAAGGGACTTGAATATCTCTCCTATGAGTAAAGGCTGATAGAACTGGGGCTGTTTAATCTTAAAAGAAGGGTGAGAGGCGATCTTTTAATGACTGTAAGTATCTGAGGTGTGGGTGTCCAGACGAAGGGGCCAGTCTCCTTTCAGTGGTGCCCAGTAATAGGACAAGGCACAACGGATATAAGCTAGAACACAGAAATTCCACCTCAACATGAGGAGAAAATCTTTACTGTGAGGGTGACAGAGCACTGGAAGAGGCTACCCAGGGAGGCTGTGGAGTCTCCTTCCTTCTCTGGAGACATTAAAAACCCATCTGGATGTGCTCCTGTGTGGCCTGCCCTAGGTGATCCTGCTTTGGTAGCGGGAGTGGACTAGATGATCTCCAGAGGTCCCTTCCAATCCCTAACATTGTATGATTCTTTGAACTAGCAATAAAATAAATTTTGAAAGGAAGGGAACAGTAAAACTATTGAGTGACTATGCCCACTGGTAAATAAGTACCAAATAGATCGTATTTTCACCAAGACTTAGAAGAATTTTAGCTTCAAAGAACATACTTCTCATATCTGTGTTGCCCATAAGCATAGTCTTTCTAATGATAAACAAAACTGCTAAAAAATGTCCCATAAACCGACTGCTTTTTGATAAGGAGACACAAAATGTTGAAGAAAGATTCTTCAGAAGTCATACTTAGGGTTGTTCATTTGAACTCATGCCCATGAAGCTGCACAAAAGTTTTTTTAAAGCTTTCCTGAAGCTGTTCCTCAAATGAATGATACTCTACATTTCTAACATGGTAACAACACTATTTATCAACAGAGATTAAGTGAAACAGCCTAAGTTGACTATAGGAAAACATCAGGACAGTAGAACAGCAACACTTTTCACACAGGAACACAAGCACAAGTGAAACAGTATTACACAACAGAGAATCAGGAGGCTGGCAGCTGTTGCACTGTGAACAGGAAAGTTACTACCTTTCAACCTTTGAAAACAAGCAAGAGAGAGATACTGGAAAATAAGGGTCTTCTGTACAAACATTCCAGAGAAAAGAAGACCATTACGAACAATGATTTACACACAGAGTTGAAGCGCCAAGTTTGCTCTGACACAGACTTAATCACCAGCAACACATTAATGCAAGCTTGCTGCCACCCCATGGCGCTTTCAAGTAGTTGCTCTGAATAAAGTAGCAAACAGTAGAAGTATCTATACTTCAAAAAACAAACTTCAAATTACTTTAATTGAACCAAACCATTTTTTTAAAGGAACTCACTACTTAAAAGTATCTCCTGATGATATATTTTAAATTTAGCTTAAATTTAACAACACTGAAGAGTGACACGACTGAAAAAAACCCACAAAAAACCAGCAGAGCACAAGTAATCATACCTATTTGCACCAGATTCAATGCCCATATCAATGCAAGGGTTTCCCTCACATTTCTGAAGTATGAAGTGCATATCTCTCCAAATCAAAGAGAGATGACTAGACCAACAGTTTCTATCAAGAATTTTCTAGTCTGTAAAAATCTAGCAGTTTGGACTTCCAACTGCTTATCTTCCTAGCTAAAAAACAGAAACATTTTTCATTACCAGAAAAACAAGCACAATTTCTGATGACTTCTTACCACACACATGATGTAAGAAAGGATGGCACCAGAGGAGCCAATGAGTGCACCAACAATGGTCAGTAAGTTGTTGTTCAGTAGGAAGCCCTCAGCACATAAAGCCCATCCAGAATAACTGTTCAGGACAGTAATAACTACAGGCATGTCAGCACCTCCAATAGCTGCTGTTAAAGTGACACCCTGGAAAAGAAAATAAAATATTTCAGTATAAGCTAAGAGTAAGGAGAACATGCAAGGAAGACAGTCTGCCCGCAGCATTGAGAAATAAATATCAAACTACTTAATAACCTAATTCAAGTGTTTTCAATGTAGGAGAGACATCAAGCTGTAGTGTGACTTACCAGTTCTACCTTCTGAGAGGGGACACAAAGGCCCACCACTGTCCTCATCATGAGCTTAGTCACCTATTTTTACTCACAAAAGTATTGATCAGCTTCATGGAAGTGTTAATACCACTGAAGGTATTAACACTGAATAGTCTTCACAATATGCAGCTCACACAATTAGAATATTCAGGGTACATTTTGCAACAGCTGGTGAGAGTGAATGAGGGAAGCTTCAAATGGAGATAACATCATTATACTGCTGTGATAAAAGAGCACTGAGTCTACAGGCTAAGTACTTTAAGAATAAGCTTTCCAAAAAGTCTTTTAAAATACAAGTTTGTCATAAAAAAGGCTCCATTAAGTCATATATGCAAAAAGGATTTCTATATATACTTGCCTGTTCTCTAGTACAGTTCTGGTTTACAGCTAGATTTAGGAAAGTCAGTTGCTACTTGCTACTACAAGTTAGCTTACAGGCACTATAATGATTGTGACTCTGGATGGTAAAACAAAATCATAAAGCGGAAACTTGAGAAGCTGAAGAACAAACTGCTTTTAAAATTTGTTTCACTTCCTACAATTCTCCAACTTACCATAATGGCTGAGAGAGCTGACACAGAACCTAAGCAAGTAATTCCTGTAGTGTAACTAGGATCAATCATGTATGGAATCATTCCACCGAAACTTGCAGCCAGCAATCCTGCATTCAATGCATGTCGACCAGGCAGGAGCAGTGGTGCTGAATTCAGGATACCTGCCAAAAAATGCATATTCAGACACTGACACATACATGCAGAAGAGCCTATCTCTTGCCCCTGAGAAAACTAAATACCTCAGCAAAAGAAAACTGAAAAAAAGGGAGGAGTAGAAGATAAAACAAGTTAGTTGGAGTTTAGACCTTGTGCTGATTTAGTATTGCAACACATTCAAACTTAATCTAGATTCTCAAATATCCTGTTTAAACTCGTTTTACTTCCTAGTATTGCTGAAGTGCTTCAGAATAATTAGAAAAACTATTACCCTCTTGAAAAGCCTTTAAAAAAAACAACAAAAAGACATAAAAAAAAAAAAAATCACAAATGCGCTTTTAGCTCTGACCCCAAGTCTTTGCATGTTGTGTATGATGCCCTGTAGTAGGAAGCTTTTAGCTGGAACTTCTTCATATAAGCATCTCCATCTCTCAAAAGCTGTGTGCTTAGAAAAAAATATGACTATGCAGATTACTCTAAATATACAACACTTGTGCTTTCAAATACTTTAATTTCATCAGTACCCTCACTCACACAGACCTTCCACAACTTCTCATATTGGCAGCAACTAGGAGTGGAAGTGTGTGACCTACTACCTCTAGTTCAGTAGTATAGACAAGCTTTTTATTATGGTGCTGATAAGAAAATGCAAGGGCAGGGGGAAATAAACGGAAAAGGAGAGTGGGCTGAAACAGGCAGTGAAGTTCACCAGGGACATGTAAACAAATCACAGAAGGGGGGGAGCAGCAGATGAAGAAGTGAAAAAAATAACCCAGAAGAAATAAACTAAATACTAGTTAGCAGAAATACATCAGAAATACATACTACTGACACATCCTTCAAAAGATTATTAAAGACAGCTTTCCATCCATGTCATGCTTCCTCCTTCAATGGCTGGTCCCAAACACTGAAGAAAGTGAACAGATGTTTCCCAAAGGAACTATTACAAAGCTAGTAACAGGATTAGTAATAAGAAGCTGTTAGCCAGAACTTCTTCACACACGTATTACGTCAGTCTCTCAAAAGCTGCGCACTTATAACAAATACAATAAAGAAATCTTCAGGTGCATATCAACCAGGAATTAATGAGTACTTAACTTAGAAGGCATATTTACTAAAATAATATAAGGCATGGAGCATGGAGTTTGCACAGTAGGTAAACAGTGAACTGAATGGTTTGAAGTGAAGCAGTCTCAACTGATTCTACAAGCTACCTACCTACCCAACACAAGCCTGCAATGGTATGAACAAATCCCATAAATATTGGTGGTGCTCACTGAGTGTAGCAACACCAGGATTTCAATTAAAATGTCTGCTCAGAAATAAAAGCTGTGATAATAAAAATTCAATAAAATCAATTAGAGAAATAGTGTCAGTAGTGTCTTGAAAACACTGAAGAAACATATTTCTAGACAAGATGAATTGAGGAAAGCTCACATGATCTGGTAATTAATAGCAGTAGTATGTCCAAGCACTGGAGACAAACCTTTCATAATTAAAGCTGTACACAAATTAAACAGAATTAAAAAGAAAAAAGTATGCTTGCTATAATCAAAGATACAAACTTTTACCTGATCCAAAATACTAGGCTTCTTTGCAATTACATAGCAGTCTAAAGCCAGAGCTAAACCCTGGGGTGGGGGGTTAACAAATACTTGATTCTGAATGGAAGGTCTCACCTTGCAGTTTTCCATAAGCAACAAGAGAGCCACTGAAGGTCACTCCACCGATGTATGTGCCAAGGTATGCCACAATCTTGGTGAGGTTTGCGGCAGGATCAACAGCAAAGTGAGGATATTCAATGATGTATTCTGCTACACAGGTGAGCACAGCAGCCAACCCGACCAAGCTATGGAAAGCAGCCACGAGCTGGGGCAGATCTGTAATCTGGATGCGTTTAGCAATCGTCAAACCTGTTGAGAGTTGAAGGCAGAAGGGAAATTTTACAAGACACAATCAAGAGCAGCAGTTAGGAGTTGATGTATCATGGTTCAGTGTGCAATGAATACATGGATGCAAACACCTGTTCCAATGGAAATATTTGTTACACACTAAATGCTACAGCATTTAACTCAAAATTGCATATGTGCATTTTGTGCAAAAAGGATACGATGGAAATTAGACAGAAGACTAAAGCACATCATGTTCAGTAAAAATTGAGAAATTCAGCATTTTCTGAAAAGGGAAATCTGGCAGCATTCAGTCAGGAACTGAACAGAAACAATAAGTTGGACATGTTCATTTACCTCTGCATACCCTGTTTCACTAATGCAAGACGATGGGTTTCTGCTTGCCCTTAAAGTCTCCTCATTCTTTACCACATCATGACGCACTAATAAAAGCCCTAGAACTTTAAATTCTTTGTTCACACATTTGCAAAGTAACATACATAACCCACAAATGTTAGCCAATTTACCTGTGAGATATACAGCATTTTGCGTATATACAGCTTGCATAAATGCACACACAGAGCATACATTAAGTTTATAGTATCATACACATACCTATGGTACCACCAAGTGCCATTGCACCTGACATCTGCGCCAACAATTCAGGTGAGGGTTTAAGGCCTCCAAGAGTCGCTGCTAAACCTCCAGCAACACCAATCATACCCAAAGCATTTCCAAGACGAGCTGTTCCTTGGGTGGACAGACCAGCCAGGGCACCAACACAACATAAGCCTGAGCCCAGATACATAATCTTTAAAATAAGAGAAACATCAATATCAATACATGAAGTAGAGACAAAATGCATAATCATTATAAAATCTTCCTGATCATTCAACAAAGGCCTGATTTCTCCTGAATGTGCGTAAGTCACAGTTCTTAACTGAAGTCAGAACTCTTGACTGTGAGAAATTGTTGTACAGGATGTGATTTTGGCCAATTAAAACATGGTATCTTTTAAAACCTTTTTCCCCCTTGACCCTGGTTTATCTGCACCATGAATACTAAACTTTAGTGAAGTCCATCTTCCTTTCAATTCAGAACCAAGTCTTCCTTTAGTAGAAACCCAAAGCTAGAACTGCCCTGTATCACTCTAGGAATAGTTTCAGAATTTGCTTGTGGCACACTGGAATTCCTGTTTTCAAAACTATGAACAAACTTCACTGAACTAAGATGTACACATTTATAGGTAACTGAAAAAAAACCTCAAATATACTAAAAGCTGCTGGCATAAATGTTATGTTTAGGTTCACTTTTTTCCAAATACAGATGGCAACATACATTGATTTCTCTTACTATTGGAACAAATGCAAACTAAAATTTACTAAAAATGGCACTAGAGGTACGATCCCTGTACACACTGCTGTGTTGAAATTTCATTCCATCCAGATGTCATACCTACTTTAACCGTCACACCAAGTTTTCAGAAATATTTAAACCAAGGACTGGTTACTGTAGTCACTCTGATATTTAAGCTGTATTTTAGGAAAACCATCCAATAAATAACAAAGTACCTTCTGCTTTACAGGAAAAAATACACGAAAGCTCTGAAAATTTGCAGATTCAGCATTTGGGGTATGATTGCAAGCTTAATCAACTTCATATTGGCTTTGTGGGAATACGTAGCTGATTAAAAGACCACAGCTATTTGCTATTTACCCCTCAATGAAGTAAGCAGTGAAAATGTCTACCATGACGTTAACAGCAGGCTAAGTGTCACAAAATTATCTTCTTACCTGTTCAATGTTATAGCCACCACTGAGAGCAGCTGCATAGCCTCCTACAAATGCACCACCAGGTAGTAGGTACAAGTAGTTGTACTCAGGAGGATCTGTGGGACGTTTGAACATATCCAGCATTCTCTGTGTAACCAGAAAACCACCTGGAAAAGTAAAGGAACTACTTCACAAAACCAATATTTGAAACTAAGCACATGACAAGCTATGACAGAAATAGTTTTTTAAACTATACTACCATGCAAAGTTAACAACTGACACCAAAAAAGCCTCTGAAAAACCAGTAATCTGGGAAAGTACCAAAAAACAAAGGTATAACCAGGATGAGATCCCGGTTAGGTGTTTTTTAACCTTTGGAGGAAATTCACAAGAGGAGTTGGAAAGCCTGGAGGACTTGCTCTGGCTTCAAACTCTCTGCTGACAGTAGGATACAGCTTTGTTGATGACTGCTTCTTTTTCCCTACCTACTTTAGTAAAAAAGCTCCAGCATTTTTAAGTCACATTGCTAATTATCATTCATGAGAATGGGACTTCTGAAACTCAAGCAAACAGAATTTTGTTCTACGCAACTTGTACATCTTTCAAGTAGGAAAAGGAATACTAGCACAGAGAGAGTACCATGCTGGGATATACAGGGAAAGATATTTCATATAATCACCACCCAAAAGACTGCTAAAGAAAAATGTACATTTAAATGCTTCCCTAAAAAAGGTTATACCACAGAGTGTGCAAACTAGATACAGTAACTACTACGAAAATCGGGAGTCAAGTTCTTTACTGATGGATGCCCTCAGATCCTCTTCCCAGAATCGTATTTCTGGAATCCATACAATTAAAGAGCGAGAAGAAATAAAAGCATTACACAAGTGCTTTTAAGTTGTCCTCAGCAGAAAAACTAACATTCCTACCTGCAATATTAACTGAAGAGATAAAGGTTGAAAGCACTGCTAAACTTTGAGGAGTGTTTTCAGGGAGATAGTTTCCTCCCATCAGTACCAGCCCACCAACTGCAGTTAGTCCTATTTAAAAGAAAAAAAAAAGTGTTACTGAACCTTTAAAAGCTCTATTTCAAGTTTCCCTTCAGCTGTCAAGCAGATACCTGTCAACACAAACTCTGACTACTACTCTACACATCACTATGTAAACAAAGACAACTGTCATCTTTTTCAGCAATAAAAACATTTCAAAACACAACTGTGTATGAATAGGAGTGCCTCAATCACAGAGTTAGCCTCTGAGTATTTGTTCCATTAAAAAAATACTTGTTTTTAACAGTCAAAGTAGATCAGACTCATGATCTGTCACATATACATACACACAGAGATGTATAAAATCATACATATTCAGAGTTATGAAACTTATGGGTCACTTAGGAATTTTTTCTTTCCCCCCCACCAAAAGCCATCATAGTAGCAAAGACCACAGCAGTACAGCACTCCAGGAAAAACAAACTTGAAAGCAAACAGGTTAATAGTGATAAATTACTTTAAAATTTTTAAGAAATACAGCACCTCATTTGCCCTTCTGTTGAAAAAATATACCCTCAAGAAGTGCATGTTTTAGATGTCTGTTATTTCTGAAAGTAAACTCAGACATGCAAAGAAAATAAGCAGTCATGTGACAGTTACTTACCTGAGATAGCATTAGTCACTGACATGAGTGGAGAGTGAAGAGCAGGAGTCACACCCCACACTGTATGGTACCCCACTATTCCAGCAAGGCCAAATGTTGTCACCATTTGTGTGAAAGCAGCATTAGGAGCTGCAATGCCCAGTCCTAACATGCTGGCTAAACCTAGAACAAAAGCACAGCACAACTTTACTATGACATTTCAATCATTTCTTACACTTGAAGTCTGTAAAACAGGAAGCCCATTATTGAACTAAAAGCAAAATATACTTTTGTACATGGATTTGTTTCAAGATTAACTGATGGTCTCTGTCAACTGTGAGGCTCTTTCGGCCCTAGTGTTTCTTTACAATAGCAAATTAAACTATAAATATAATACACACATCTTTGTTATGGATGCAGACAAAGCACCAAAAACAGGTTTCTACACTGAATCCTGTCACTCTAGCAAAAATGGAGAAGAGTCACAATCATGCAGACATGCTTCTTGGAAGACTCAAAGCATGCATATGGAGAAGAGAGGTTAAAAGCAAGAATACTCAATTAATTACCTCATGTGAAGTTTTGATACAAAATACCAAATGACAAGAAGAACCAAACTTTATTTGTCAAGATCAATGTCCTATTCTCAGTACTTTGGTACTGTGGACATTTAAGTATTAAACAATATTAAAGTTTGAAGAAAGCAATGGCATTGAATTTATTCTGCTGCAAAGTGTGAGCACAGTCCCCAGCAGGAGTCTTTCAGAATTTTAGAAATTTTACCAATATTTTTATAAAGCCAAAGCATGAGTCAGCACTGTTTGAAATGTTAATAGCTTTGGTTAAATGTTTAAAATTTAATTTTCCCTCTCAAAAGCAATTACTAAACTAGATTGATTTTGCAGTAGGATACAGCAGCAAATCAGCTCCCCTCCCAACTACATCATAAACTGAATGAGTAAGATCAGAAGTCACATAGAAGTATTAGCAAAATGAGGAGAATCCTACACTGATTCTCGAACTCTGGAAGTTGCCTACCTGCTGTGTATACAGATGCACTAGTCATAGTTTTTCTAAAAGGTGTAATAGTAGCTGCTTTTTCTGCTTCCAGCTCTGCTACCGTCTTCTGCTTCACAGGGGCTCCTTGAGGAATGTTATTAGGTGGAGGTGCTGGGAAAATCACCTTGCCATCCTGACAAAGAGATATTTACAGTTAACCCTAATATGGCTGATGCTTTATAGTTAGAGGAGCCTGCTCTTCTCAATCCTGCAACTCAGATAAGTCTTAATATCCTACAGCCATGCCACAGAAACATCTTCATTTTCAGCATTAATGTAAGTTTGCAAGAATGGATCATCAGTACAGCCTGACCAAGTTAACCATACCAGTTTACACATCTTTTTCAAACAAGATTTAACATCAGTGTCTAGGAGAACCTCACAGAAACACAGCACAAGGCTTGAAAGCAGAAACCAAACCAAAGATTTCCTTACATTTAAAACATTTATGCAAAATAAAACAGGATTTTGCAAATAGCAAAATCTGCCACAGATCTGAACTGTAACCACAGCCTGCCCAGACTTCAGCTAGATACCACACATGATGTCATTCCACATCTCTTTCTGCTCTTCAGGCCTCTGAAAGAATAACTGGTGGAGCTGTCAGACTTGAGCTGTACACACCACTTCAGTAGTCTGGGAGAGCAGAAGACAATGGAAGCCTCCTCCAGAGTAGGTATGATAAGCATTACAAAATGTCGGCAACATTATGCAGCAAAACTCTACAGAAATTAATACCTCTTACCTAAACTGCAAAATATTATTTCCTAACAGTTACAGGAGGAGAGCCCATATTGGCCCATGCCATAACTTTGTATTTTAATATTTCCTAATAGAGCTTAGTGTATCCTGCATACGTTACTTCCACCACTTTTTTCTGAAGTTATCCTTATAAGAGAAATGTGTTTATTTTTTTAAAATAATGGTTTTCTGGTCCTGTAGTAATATTTAAAAATGCATTAAATACCTATGCTTTTATTACACAAGTACAACACACAAATTTAATCTAATCTTTCTTTTATTTTTCAATGGTAGACATTAGATATTTGTTTAACTATGACAGAAAACCAAAGTAGAGGTTTCATGTCACAGAAAGGGATAGAGGAATATTCAGCTGTATACAAACGTGATTGCCCATACTGTCCACCAAGCCTCATCTGAAGTGTATGAGCGTGCACTATCTTTAAATGCACTTTAAAGAGACAACACTGATACATACAAAAGCATGTACTCACAAATTTTAAAAATAGTATTTACTGACTTACCTTCATTACTACAGTTCCTCTAATAACATGATCCAGAGTCCCATAATCAAATTCATCTTTTGGATCAAAGTAAAAGTTCTCTTTGTCAGGACTAATAGCCTTTAAAAGTTTGATAATATTATTGGAATACAGAGTACTGGCCTGAGTAGCCATTCTGCTAGGCAGGTCTGTGTAGCCAATGTGTGTAACACCCTGAAAAGAATTTAAATCACATATCAGCTCAATCTATGAAAAAGTAGCTTCTCTTCCAATATATCCTTCTAGAAATATATACCAAAACTGTTTATCATATTTCCATTTTAATCCCAGCAAAACCTCTTACCTGCAGCTCTAACTATTAAGTCAGGAGGATTACTCCCAACAATTACAGCACTGAGTATGAACAAATCCAACACCTTAAAAGCTATTGGCAACAAGCCTACACAGAGAGGAAGATGTACTGGGGCAAGAACTTGTTCTCTCCAAATCCTACCATTGCCTCTGAACATAGCTTCTTAAAGCAACCAAGTGAGAGATTATCCTGCCCAATGCTTGGCATCTTCTCAGTTTCTCTGGAGGGCATGCGCTGGATGCAACTTTCTGTATTACAGAGGAGTGAAAGGAGCTTCCTTGGTGTAAGCTAGCTGTGCAAGCAGCATACCTGGGTTCATATTTATGAAAAGATGTAACAAGATATCCCCATTGTTTAAAGAACAAAGGTTCTTCTTCATCTTCAGGTATCTGGCTATCAGGGTCTTGAGCTTTTGGAAGGTATGAGAAGTTGAGGCTGGCAAACACTCTTCATGTTCAAGCAGGCTAGCTAAAACACTGCTCCCTCAACTTACAGCTAAAATCCATACACGCTTCCAAGAACTCTGGCTTAACACAATGCTCTGTCACACTGCTAATAATTCTTCATTGCTGCTCTTTCCACAGCTTAGTTCCAGTACGCTATACACCCAGGGGTAATATTTCTCTGACTAAAAGCTCTCCATATAAATTTTTAATGCAAGTATCTTCTTATTTCTGTTCTACATACTCTTAATATAAGTTTTTAAGCAAGGGCATCAAAAGCCCTAGAAAACCACCAAGTATATATCCTACAGCATTCCCTAGAGCAGCACAGGAACAGCATTATGTCCTTACATTACCAAATAACAACCTTAGAAACGCGCTACTTTAAATCTTATCATCGAGATTTCTCTAACTGCTAGCAGATTTCTCACATGTACCAAATTGTAGAATGTTTATGTTACTGCTGAGATTCCAAGGTCACATCTTTGCCCTGACAGCTCAGACACAACCAGGAGATCTATGACCCTCCTGTAGGGGAGGCTGCACTTGATGGACAGCAAAATTGGCCTGAGATATTCCATTCCATTCCATATATCTAAGCTTAGAGGAAGGTCAGAGGTCACAGAAGACAACTTCCTTCCTGCTTCTTCTTCCCTTTTCTTTCACCCATGGCCAGCATCGAGGGAGGACTCTGTCCATCCATCACCATTAAACTCTAGGCTGTGCATCCTTCAGCCCTCTTAACTCCATGCTCTCTCTGGCAGCTCCACGACTTTACAGGACTGTTCACAGCTAAGGAGATGCTGTGGGAATTGATGGGGGTGTGGGGAGGCAAAAGGCTTTTGCATATTCCTGAACAAATTTTATATAACTGTTTTATTTTTTCATTTATTTTTATTTTATTTTATCATTAGTTTTTAATTAAAGCTGTCTAGTTTACAGTTTTCAATCCAGAGAGTCTCTCTCCCTCATTCTCTCTCTCCTTCCCCACCTGGGTGGGAGGGGATCAAAAGCATTGTTGTCTCTGGTATAATTGCAAATCCTGAGTCAAACTATGACAGAAGTCTTACTGGTTACATTTCCATAACTAACAACCAAATTAACACTATACAAAGGTATGTTTCTTTAAAAACCTTCCAATTGTTATAAATAGAGATGACTAGTGATCAAATGCAAACCTAAAGCATTACTCAAACTCAAATACCAAAAATCATCCCTCATTTTCAACATACAGGTTACAAAAAACAATGTGAATTCATGCAAACTGAGATTATCTGCAAATTAAAATGCTCACCTTATGAACATACAACTCTCCAGGCTTTGTCGTCTCAATGTTTCCCCCAGCTTCTGAAGCTAAATCCACCACAACCGAACCTTCCTTCATTGATTCAATCATATCTTTCTTAAACAAGACAGGAGCTTTTTTGCCTGCCAAAACAAGGCATATTAAGTTAAAGACAAAATACAGCCTTTTACCTGCAGAGCTTAGGGGACAAGTTTCCCCTCTTTCTCTCTAAACCTTGTTTTTCAAAGTACAGTTTTTAAGTAATGGATACCTGGGGTGAAACACCGCAAGAGGTTTATACAAGCAGAGAAAAGATGCTAGAATATTTGCTTCCAAACACAAAAAAGCTATGCATTTGCAGTCTACTAAAGATGCTGGCAAGTCACCACCACAGAATCACAGAAGAATTAATCACAGAGGAATCAATCAATCACAGAGGAATCACAGAATATTAGGGGTTGGAAGGGACTTCTGGAGATCTTGGAGTCCAACACCCCTGTAATTTCATGGATCTTCCTTCTTGCCCTTTTTGAAGACTGGAGTGACACTGGCCTTCCTCCAGTCCTCAAGCACTGGAGACATTTTTGCAATGATCTTTCAAAAATGATGGAGAGAGGTAGGGCAGTAACATCAGCCAGCTCTCTCAACACTCTTGGGTGCATCTCATCAGGGCCCAGGAACTTGTGTACATACCACTTACATAACTGACCTCCAGCACACTCTACATTAACTAGTGGAGAGTCTTCTCTCCTTCAGGCTTCCTCTCCCATATCCAGGGTCTGAAGTTCATAATGGCTGGTGTTAGTAAAGACTGAAACAAAGCCATTCAGCAACTCTGCCTTCTCTGCATTCTCTGTTACTGGGGCTCCCACCTCATTCAGCAGTGGGCCCACATTTTCCCTATTCTTCCTTCTACTGCTGATATGTTTGAAGCAGCTCTTTCTGTTCTCCTTTACTTCCTTTGCTAGTTTTAAGAGGGCTCTGGCCTTTCTTGTCCCTTTCCTACATACCCTAACAACATCCCTGTAGTTCTCCCAAGTGACAAGTCCCTTCTTCCACAAACTGTGCACTTCTTTCTTCCATGAGACTTTCTTCAGAAGATACTTGCTTACCCATGCAGGTCGCTTATCACCCCTGCCTGATTTTCTACTCAAAGGAATGCACCTATCTTGGGCTTGGAGGAAGTGGTATTTAAAAACTGATTAGCTTTCCTTCCAGAGTTTTAGCCCACGGACTTCCTTCAAGCTGATCTTTGAAGAGGCCAAAGTTAGCCCTATAGAAGTCCAGGGTTGTAATCCTACTTATTGCCCTTATTGCTTCTTCCTTGTAAAATATTAAACTCCACCATGTCATGGTCACGGTTGCCAAGGCTATTTGCAACTTTAATGCCTCCAACCAGACCTTCTTTATTCATTAATATAAGGTCTAGCAGTGCTCCTCTCTTCATTGGTTCTCCCACTACCTACATTAGAAAACTATCATTATCATATTGGGGGTACTAGTGGATCAAAAGCTGGACATGAACAACCAATTTGAAATTGCAGCCCAAAAGGCCAACTCCATCCTGGGCTGTATCAAAAGAAGTGTGGCCAGTAGATCAAGAGAGGCGATTCTGCCCCCCTACTCTGCCCTGGTGAGACCTCACTTAGAATACTGCATCCAGCTTTGGTGCCCCCAGCACAAGAAAGATGTGGACCTGTTGGAACGTGTCCAGAGAAGGGCCACAAAAATTATCTGAGGGCTGGAGCACCTCTCTTATGAGGAGAGGCTGAGGGAGTTGGGGTTGTTCAGTCTGAAAGAGAGAAGGCTCTGGGAGGACCTCATAGTGCCCTTCCAGTAGCTGACGGGGGCCTACAGGAAAGCTGGGGAGGGTCTTCTACAGGAGCTTGCAGTGAGAGGATGAGGGGTAATGGTTTTAAGTGGAAAGAGATTTAGGTTAGAGATCAGGTGTAAATTCTTCAGTGTAAGGGTGGTGAGACACTGGAACAGGCTGCCCAGAGATGTTGTGGGGGCTCCATTCCTGGAGGTGTTCAAGGACAGATTGGATGGGGCTGTGAGCAGCCTGTTCTAGTGGAACATGCCCATGCAAGGGAGTTGGAGTGCAGTGATCTTTAAGGTCCTTTCCAACTCAAAAAATTCTGTGATTCTGTGATCATCAACATACCGCTAATACCTTTTGGACTGAACCTGCTTTGCTGTGTGGGCTTTCCAACAAATACTAGGGTGATTGAAGTCATACTAGGGAGCATGATCTAGAGGCTACTTCCAGTTGACTGTAGAATCATCACATCAACATCTTCTTCCTGGGTTGTTGGTCTATAGTAGACACCCAAAACAGTTTCACCTTCAATTGCACGTCTCTTAATTCTTGCCCACAAACTTCAGCCTGTTCTGCCTCCCTCCCTGGATAGAACTCAAAGCATTCCAAAGCATTTCTCTCATACATAAAGAGCAAGACCATCACCTCGCCTTGCTGCTCTGTCTTTCCTAAATAGTACATAGCCATCCATGACAACATTCCAGTCACGGGAGCTGTCCCACCATTTTTCAGTGATTTCAATTATGTCATAGCCATTCAACCTAATGCAGACCTCAAACTCCTCTTCCTTATTCTCCATGCTCCGTGCATTGTTATATAAGCATTTCAGAGAGGGAGTCAAGCAATTAGTTTTCACTTGTGATTTCTGACTATTCCCAGCCACTTCCCTGGTTAGCAACCCGTTAGTGAGCCCTGTGTTTTTGTTGTCACATTTATCTCAATTTCCCAGTTCTAGTGGAATGGCAGACAGAAGACCAACATCAGGCTCATCTCTAGTGAGCCTGGTTTTATCCCATCCCCCCTCAAGCCTAGTTTAAAGCCCTTTTAACAAGTCCTGCCAGTTCCTCTGCAAGAATCCTTTTGCCCCTTGGAGACAGATGTATTCCAGCTGTCACCTGCAGATCCAGTGCCATAAAAACTTCCCGATGATCAAAGAACCCAAAGTTTTGATGGTGGCACCATATCCTGAGCCACACATTGATTAGGTGTTTTCCATCCTCTTATTTATTCCCACCACTTGAGAAAATAATGAAAACACCACCTGCACGCTGCACCTTCAACCAGTTGCCTCAGTGCCTTGAAGTCCTTTTTAATAGCCTTTGGACTTCTCTCTGCAATCTCATAATTGCCAACCTGTATAACTAGCAAAGGGTAATAATCAGATGGCTGCACCAGTTCAGAGTTTCGTTTTAATACCTTTAATCCGAGCCCCAGGGAGGCAGCAGACTTCCCTGTGGGATGAGTCTTGTCAACAAATGGGCCCTTCTGTTCCCCCCAGAAGAGACTCACCCACCACAATTGCTCTTCTTTTCTTCTCAGTTGAAGAAGTCCTAAGTCTATTAAAAGGTTATTAAAAGACAGGTGGTGTGCAATACAAAGCACTGAAGTTTATGCTCTGCCTCACTGTGTTTTAATTGTGATTTGTTTCAGTGCACCAGCTGGATAGCAGACGTAGCAGTAATACAAGAAACATGCAAGAAAACTGTCTTGCTTTCTTAGTTTCTACTCCTTGTTTAATAGGAAAACAGAATTATCTTGAGTCAAAGACTCTTAGTTTGTGAAAAAAAAAAAGTTGGAAAAATAGGTACACACTTAAAAAACCAGGCATTGATCAGGGAAGGCAAAAGTTACACGATCACAGAGATGTAATTCATTACCTCCTGTTTTCACTGCAGGTACAGCTCCAAAACATGCCAACTACACCAGGTAAATGAGAAGTAGCATCTTGCACATAAAACATACCTGGGATAAGCGCTGTAGTGATGATAATATCAACGTCTTGGCACTGTTTGGCAAAGAGTTTCATTTCAGCTTCAATAAATTCCTTGGACATTTCTTTAGCATAACCGCCTTGTCCCTCTCCAGATTCCTTTACGTCTACTTCCAAAGGCTCTGCACCAAGAGACTTAAACTGTTCCAGAGCTGCAGCTCTACGAAAAGAAAATTGAGGGGGAAGGAACAAGAACCACTACTTTAAAATCCCTTGTGACATTTCTGATCTTTTTAGTGGTAGTCTTCTTCAGATAAACGATCAAAAACATTCTAGTATTAGAGACTGTAATTATGGTCCTCAACTTTCTGTATTTGGAGAAAAAAGCTAATTGAATCACTAGTTTTAGTTTCCCAAAGATACTTGAACAAGGAATGAAGGCAGCCTACAGTCTTCTTGGAACAGAGTTACTCCAAGAAAGTCTATAAGCTGGGAGCTTTAACTGTTGACTCTCTGCTCACCCTTGTCATGACTAGGTAAATCCACAGCCCAAACTCAGATGCCTAACATAGGTAATAAACACATAAGCTGTGGCCCTGTTTTTAATCTGTGAAATGGGAAATACCCGTACGTTTTATTTTAACAAGGAAAATTTGTTGGGGGGGTGGGGTAAGGAGATTGTGGGGTGCTGGTAGTGTTTTGGGTTGGCTTTGTGTTTGCTTTCTTTTAGGTTTCCTCTACATCTGTAATTTATTTTGCATTATGTGATAGCACAGTTAAATAATGAGACTAAATTTCAGAGTTAGCCAAACATTCACAGTGTGCAGAGGACTGAACACAATCATTCTTGCACACCAAGATAAAAGTATAGAGGATGTTTAAGAAGGGAAATGAAAAAAATTCTGAGAAGTTTTAGGCAGATTTTGATGAGGCATATGCAGACTTTCTTATTGCACATCATAAATTTGGAGATATATTCATTTCTGTTCTTTCATATTAAATATAACTAAGTAGCACTAGATGCCACTTTGGCATAAAAGCAAACATACATAATTTTGATGTAAATGCAGTATTATACACATACAAATTCAGTATAAGAAGGTCATTTAACAGAAAAAAATTATCAAGTTTAGAGTCCCTGCAGATAAGAAGAAAAACATTTGTACTCTGTAATTTTCTCAGTCTATTGCTCTAAAAACTAGCTATGGGACAAAACAAGAGACTTGAGGAAAAGCAGCACTTAAAGCAAATTCAGCTGCAGTTCCTGTTCTTTCATCTTGAGTTTCATAAATAAAGTAACTTGATCACTTTCTCTCCTTCAGAAAATTGAAAGAAGTCTCTCTCCAAAGAGTTGCTAGCTGCCCTCTCTGGGATCAGGAGAGTAGAAGTGAATGAGAGTATGCAGCTATGAACCTGGATCAAAGTAAGCTATAAAAGAGGGCATAAAGATTACTTCTTTACTATGTTCCCTGTGTTCCTAAGAACAGAAACATGAAATTCTGTATTAGAGCTTTTACGTCCTCATTTTCATGTAGCAATGAATTTTTATTCATATAGCTCTGAATGGTTTAATGAGGAGGCCCCTTTGGAAGGTTTGTTTGCTTCGAGATATAAAAAAATGGAGGAAGAATAATGAAATAAAATTGGTAGGAAAGGAATTGTGATTCAGTGCAGTACAAGTTCTTTCACTGTACTACAGCCACAACCTACTTAATCCTCAAATAATTTCAGATTGATATTACCATTTTCACTCACCTACCTAGTATCAAATCCACGAACCACTGCACCCATTGCTTTAGCTGCTCCTGCAGAGGCCAGGCCAGCAACTCCTCCTCCAATGATCAAGACCTAGAATGATACCATCATCATGCTTGGAACATAAACCAAAACTAGAGCTGATTAAAAAAGCAGCAGCATTGCACTGCTTTCACAACTGCAGACACATCTTACTAACCAGTAATTAAAACAAAATACCTTAGGACACAAAACCCAAAATGAGTTTGGTAGAGCCACTCTGTAAAGAAATGGCTGAAAAGCTTGAACTCCCAGCTTCACTTATCTGAAAGCAAATTCATTTGTAGCTAACAGTTTAAGTTTTCTCCTTAATCTCTTTTTTAATTTCCTTCCTTAACCCTGGATTTATTTCTTTTCAACCCAATCCCCCTGCAATTCCCATCAAGCAATCCCTTCCCTCACAGACTTCAATGCACCAGAAATGCCAGTATCTCTGACCTAACTGCTTCCATTTAAAAAAATAATAATAATAAAAAAATCCAGCCATTTATAGCTAGTCTGATGTTTAAAGCTATACAAACTTAAATAAAACTCTAATTACTCTGTTACTCCCCCCCCAAAAAATGACACTACAGGTAGTGAACAAGAATTGGTATGGAAATAGCCACAGATTTCTGAAATCTCTAGAACTAGCCCCAAACAGGAAAAGAGACTTTTAACACATTTTCAGAAGGGGTTAGCTGTGCTCTGGAACTCATACATTCTTCTGCCACAGGATCTGCACGCACCTTTGCTGGAGGAACTTTACCAGCAGCTGTGATCTGACCCGTGAAAAAGCGACCAAAGTGATTTGCTGCAAGTACCACAGCCTTGTATCTGTCAATTAAGGACAAACACATATCAGTATTTTACCAGGCTCAGTACAATTCCGTTCATGACAGCAAGTGAAATGATGAACATTTGACCATAGCATGGTCATAAGATAAAGCAAGTTTAGTATTTTATTTTTGAGCACAAGTCTAATTGCCTTTGTTCATATTTATTGCCTTTTTTTTTTAAATCACAGAATGCATTTTTAGACAGAATTTTTTTACTGCTATATGCCTGATGTCCACAACTACTCACTCTCAAAAAAAATTTTACCTGAAAAATAAATGTATAACTTCCAAAACTGAACTCTGCAGTCTTTGTAGCTACCTTCACCAGCTCTTGGGCTTGTTAGGGAATGAAATATGAACAAGCAATTGCAGAACCCAAAATAATTTTGCATTAAGATAATTCAGACGAGCAAGCACACATTCAAAAAAGTCACTGAGATCCTAACTCTGCAGAGCTATGCAGCCTATGGCAAATAGCTTAACCTTGACAGTTCTTTTGCCCCATCTGCTTTCTAGCCATCTGAGAACAGGTGGCTGGATGACAAGTTAACATCAGCAGAGCTACCCGAGAACGCAGATTAACGTCCAGTTACATCTTTTCTTAACAACAGTGCATATTTTCTTGCATTTCTGCTGCCAGTGCTGTGGTTCAGTCCTGTTACACTCTTTCCTGTTCCTAGCGGGGACATACAGAAGTCTGCAGGATGCAAAACTCTAACTTGGAATATAGCTTGTAGATTTGATACCTTTAAATACTTTCTCAATTTCTATATTTTAGTAAGATTACAAAGAATGAAAACACAGAGAAGTAAGCAAACATGTACACAGATGTATACTGCTGGCATCCACAAAATTTGGAAGCCTTCTCCAAGGCTTATTAGGCCCCACAGACACCATCTAAGCAAAAAAAATAAATTAATTTAAAAGGCAATAAAGGACCTAATAATAGAAGTCAGCTTGACAATAACATTTTAATTCACTACAATACCTACATTACCAGTTGCAAACCGTAGAGATGTCTGAGAGTATTTGGTCCTTTGCTTAGATCTGCTACTGCAATTGGATTCATACTGAGTGCTATTTGGGTTAGTTAGCTCCCAGAAAATCAGATCCCAATTACAGACAATCTTAAGTCTTAAGGATATCTTTGAGCCTGCTCTCATTTACTTCAGATCAAAAAGGCAGGAGACAAAGCGGTCCAGAAATAAGAAGAACTGAATTAAATTTCAGTTTCATTTTTTGTAAAAAGCCTTGCTATAATCTGCTGCAAAGCTGACCATAAGAAGCTTAAGTTGTTTGGCACCTGCAACAGCATCACCCAGCTTGAAACAGCTGCAAGGAAAAAGATGCAGAATTGTTTTATATACACCCAGCATCAAAGCATGTATCTTTTAATCCAGCTCTACTTAGGTCAAGCCAGGAAAAAGAAAGTCGATAAAGAAGATGCAAGATTCATACCCAGCAATGTTGGCCATGGAGCTAAGTGCATCATATCCCTGAGCAATGGTGACCCGTGGAACCTGATCCATAGCCAAGACAGTAGTCTTTTTTTCTGCAAGTTTTTTCAGGAGGTCTGGATTTTGTGCCGGGTAGATAAAACTAATCAGGGTAGCCGATGTCTTAAAAAGATCTATCTCATGTACACCTAGAGCTGAGTTATGTATAGGAGCCCTCACCTGAAAAAAAGAGATAAGTTTCCAAATTAATTAGAGGAAGTAAATCAGAACCCACTCCACTTCTTTTCTCCCAGCTTGGAGTCCATTTCCATGCCCACAGTACACAAGTATATCAAAGGCTGTTTAAACAACTGAACTGACAAACTGCACTTCTTAACTGCAGTTCACATATCAGAATTAGCTCTGGGCAGACTGGTGATGTGGCAGCACAGCACACACCTTCATAAAGGTGTGGCTGATGGCTTCTAACCAGCAGTTACTGGCTTTTCAGACAGCTGTCCCAAAACCCACCATTTTTAAGCAAAATTATGACTGAATAGATGTGCCAGTTAAGCTCTACGGGTTAAGAATCACTATTTAGTGATATGCCCCATTACACAGGGTGAAATTAAGTCCAGCAGATGATCATCTTGATCTGCATTCACTTTCTAGTTTCTCACTTTTCTTCAAAAAGAAACCTATTTAAGAGGGTTTTTCATAAACTACCACAACAAAATTCTATGTTCAATCCTAACAGGTAACTTCAAACAGAATAGTTAAAGGAAACCCAAAACTTAAGTTTGAAGGTCTTTTTTTTTTTAACTTCAGGACTCTGCAAAATTTACCTCTCAATCAACTTCACTTTCAGCAGTCTTCTCAGATCAGTACAACTCACCTAGTTACAAGCATTTTTGAAACACACTGTTGTTGTGGAATTGTTGGATGTCTGATTGGGAAAAGACAGAAACTTTTATCTTCAGAATTCCAACTCTCTTGCTCAAGCATAACTTGAGTTATATGTTGCTAATTTTGGACCTTAAAAGTTTCTTAGAGCAGAACTCTCAACTGATTTGAGTTCAGACTGGTCTATTTTGCTCTATAAAGAGCATAACTCCTCTGGTGTAACTAAAAACATGGTAAGAAATTATCCTCAATTTTTCAGTGCTGCCATTTACTATTTAATACTGCAGGTGCACATCTGAGCTACTAACAAAAAAAATAAAGACAGACTAAATTTGAATCAGAACTTAGAATGAAAAATATTAAAGGAGCTTACTTACTGAACTTTTAAAAGACTATAAGAAAAAAATGACCTGTATGTTTCTTAAAAAATAATGTAATAGGAAATACATTAACAAAGCAATTACTTTGACAATCAAATCAGAAGCCAGGACTTCTTTGGTCCCCTGGATCTTTGCTCCAGCTTCTCTGTAATGGTCATCAGAAAATTTGGAAGCTTCTCCTGCACCAGATTCCACCACAACATTGAAACCTTGTTTGACCAAGGCTTGAACTCCAGCCGGTGATAGAGCCACTCTCTTCTCATTCTCAAATATCTCCTTGGGGACACCTACAGTCAGCTGCTTATAAGGAATTCCTGTAAGAATGGCAGGAAAGACAGCATTAGTTGAACTAAATATTAATAAATTGGTATTAATAGCAGTCTTCAGCATTGTACGGACGCAGGCAGACACATCACACTTAACAATTCTCCCCCCTAAGGAAAGAGGAAGCAGAATGGAATTTTCTAGCAGTAGTTCACATTTCTTTAAATCACACCATCTTACTAGAGATCCGTGTTCTCTCAGGAATTGTAAGGTCAGCACAACCACACACACAAGCAGTAAAAAGTGTTTGCTGCAGTTCATATCCACCTGAACGTATACAGTTCTGATAGTGTAATTTGATTCTGATTTATACAATATATAATGTTCTGGTGGTAACACATTCTACCTGGGGTAAGAAGACTTCAAATGCCTCTCTAGTCACTTTAATTTTATAGCAAAGAAATAAACAAACAAGCTTGAACAGCAAACCTGGATTTTAACCAAATATGTTTTTTATGTCTATCAAATTACAGTTGCCTCAGATCATTGTTAATGAATGTAACTTACATAGCACAAAGTACACTGCGAGGCACAGTTACATTGACAAGGTACTCTATCAATTACTTAAGAAATAAAAAATATTAATTCAGGAGTATTTGATGAACAATGGAATATGCACTTACTAGTTTGTTCAATTATACTTCCCTTCAATGTTATCTCCTTAACTTGCTCAAAGCTGTACTAAATAACACTAGGAAACTGCTAAAGCTGCATGCAATTTATCAGTTACAGTGGAAAGGTGTCAATTACAAACATCATGCTTTGTTCATGTACAATTTGTGGTCTTCCAGTCTAATACATGAGAGTTAAACTTTCCTGATCCAATCAAGTGTTTAAAGGTTATTTATAAATGCACAGACTCAAGCGGAATAATCACATATTAAACTATCACACTGCTTCAATACACTAGATAGTGTGTAGGCCCAGTTCTGCACCAGGTTTCACTGAAGTGTATCCAGAATTTAAACCTGGATTGTGACATTCATACATGAGACATGTCACATACAGTAATGAATTATAAATTAAATACTACAAGCAGTCACTTATATGAAAAATCCACTAAAAAAAAAAAAAAGCCACCAAACACACAAGAAACTAATACAAAAATAAACCAAAAAAACAGAACAAGAAAAGGTGGAAGAAAGTGGGTGAAAAACTTGTTTTCAATTACAAACCTGCTTTTAATTTGGCCACCAATACTACATATTGTTCTGCAAAAATCGTACTGGACTAGTAATTTGTTGCACTTTTTAGGAAGGCCTCCTTTTCTTTGTACAACACTATAAAAGCTCTGCAGAACTGAATTGCTTTGGATTTTTAAATCCAAATCTGTCTATGAAATAAAACTGCAAATGTTAAGGTGCCTAAGGTTGAAAATCTGAAAATATTTTAGATTAACACCTTTCAAGATACTATTAACTTATGATCTGAAAATACAACACCAAGTTGCTAAGAGCTGGACTAGAGTATCCACCTGTACTTGTTAAGTCTTCCAACCCATTAAAAAAATACTGATTGAACCTCTCCAACAGGAAGACATAACAAAAGATCATCAGACAAAGAAGTCTATTATTTTTAAATTCATCTTTCCCTTTGAAATTAAACTAATAAAATGCTAGAAAACAATTTGAAGACATAACTATTGGTATTTCATGTGTTGGAGAACATTAGAATTTGTCAGATTACAAGACAAAAAGCAAATTCTGATAAAGAAAGGAACATAAAGTCAGAAAAGGAGTGAGAATCCGTATCTGAAACAACAGATCCACAAAGACAAAAACGCTTTGCAAAGATCTGCTTCATCAGCATACAAAACATCTATACATCACCATTCAACTCAGGGTATCCCTATCATAGCAGCACTCATCACTTGAAAGCTACATTAACTGTTGCTGTTACTCATACAAATTACCCTTGTCATTTGAAGAGAACTTTCTCCTTATCTCTTCTCCTAATTACTACACAAAAAAGTCCTGTGTCTGATTTTCACTATATCAACTAAATGGAAATGAACTCTCTTGTCTTTTAGAAGCAGAAATGAAACCTAGGAGATTGAGATTTGTTAGAATAACAGATATCAATCATAATTTCAGAAAGGTAGTAGCTCTAGCACAGAATTTAAAGCTTTTCAAGAAACCCAAGAAAGTAAGAACTGGGGTGGTACAATCCCTTTGGAAGTTTTTGCAACACACAAATGCAGAGGAACAAAAGAATAAATCATAGCATACAGAGAAGAGAAGGATGAGTGCAAATCTAAAGGTACACAGACAATTGAGTAAAGCTTAAATACCTCTCAAGCAACAAATCTGTATTTTTAATTTTTAGCTCCTAAGACAGAAATGACAATTTATGCTTCTGATTTCTTTTTGTTCACTTGTTTTTGTGTGAGGTACCAGAGCAGAAGAGTAAATGGTTGTGAGAGATGGAACAGTCTTCGCTACATGCCCAACATTTTCCTCATCTGTTGTTTCAAATTGTTACATCTTGTACACATTAAAAATAGGCGAAACTTTTTCAGATATAAAGTATTTGCACTGTATTTAGTAAGCAGAACGATCAGAGACCAATACTTGAAGACTGTGCCCTCCTCCTACGTTTTGGGAGATCAAATCCAAGATAAGCATTCAACAAGTCTCATTTGCCTCTAACCTTTTCTCCTGTGTGTCACTACAAAACTTCTAGGTATCAGTGAATATAGAGGCAAACGAAGGCAGAAGCAAACAGATCTCAGTTTGCCAGCCTTTAGCTATAGCAGGAGCTATAGATATAGGACATTTTTTTTTAAGCAGACTACCACATCTTTCAGCATCAAAACAGAACAGATGTCTACAACTCCAAAGCAAAGGACTATGCTAAAACTGCAGGCCAGGGTATACTAAATGCTATGTTTGAAGGAAACTATACTACAATCACAGAATCAGTTTCTTGAACTCAGCAATTTCATTGAAGTAATTAGTTTTGAAAGGCTGAAATCTAGAATTATAAACTTAGGATCTTCACTCAGATTTTGAGAAAGCATATCAGCTATCCTTGCCATGGTTTTAAACACACATGAGAACATGTAGCTTCCCAGTTGCTTTTCTCAGCCTCCACATCAGGTAAGCTCTTTAAGAACTGCCTTGAGCATGTTTTGGTAACTTACTGCTTTGACATCAAAAAACCAGACCAAGATACACATACCTTGCTTTGCGTCAAAGATTTTGAATGTATTGTTCACTGAGAAAGAGATACAACAGTACTTTTTGATACAAAGAATTAACAGTAAGACAATTCTGCCACTATCAAAAGTAGAATCATTAGATTTCACAGACCTTAGAACTTCAGTATGGAATGTACATCAGAATTCAGAAAACTAGTAAGAAGCCACTCTTTCTCATCCCCTTAACATAATCTCAACTGTGTAACATGGACATATTCAAAGTACTGTCTCAAACTTCAAGTAAACTAAGTATGTATTCTACATCTCCAAGCTTCAGAAATACATTTAAAACAACTATAAAAGTTATATCCTCCATTTAACTCCCATCTGAAAACTGAGTGCTTAAAGAAGCTCCTAAGTTGAAAATACCAAGAAAACTCAGAATATTGCATTTGGAGAAATAGAGAAAAAGACAGGTTTTTACCTCCTTAACCTGAGTTGAGGAAGTAGTCTGTAGCAAAACAGCATCAACAAGTATTATGAGACTGACTTAGAGAAAGAGGAAGTTTTGACTGTATGCCTGTCATATGTTCTTGAATGGGAAAACGGGATACGTAACCTGACTACTTTCTAAGTCACTCTAACATCAGCTTTAAACAAACCATCTCACCTGTTCTGAAGATGAGGACATAATCCGAAGCACAGCAATATGATGTTGGCAAAAAGAAAAGACAAGAAAAAAAAAATGGTACAGGAGATTAAACATACACCTGATCCCTCTTCTTACACAAGCAAGGAGATACAAAAAACCCAAGGAAATTAAAGGAGAATGTCTATGATTTATAAATCATGTACAGCTTATCTAGAGAATTAACTGATAATAAACTGCTATAAGTTTCAAATCAGAAAGAAAGAAAAAAAAAACAAAACAGGAAACTTTAAGAAAGAAGCATCAAAATAAAAAATATTTTAAACATTGCAAGATAGAGATGGGTAAAAGTCACAGAGCTGTAGGATAAACCGATGTGGAAATTACTGGAAACTTCAGAGACGGTCACTCCATAAGCACTCTTCCCAGGGCTTGTGCAAGTTTCTGCAGCCTCTGGTGCTAGCAACTATTTAAGACAGGTTACCAGAATACTTGTTTACTCCTGCATGAAAATGTCTACATTTCTAAGAAACAAAGAAAACAGCAGCAAAATAAACAGAAATAAGTAAAGTATCCATCCTCCAAGTTTACTTTTCAACTGATTACAAATCTCTTCATGGCTCAACCTGCTGTAATTCTTGCACATAACATATTCTGGACTCAGTGAAAGCTGATCTGAGAGAATGGAAGTAATAACTACAGGGTTAAGAGGAATTACAGTGACACTAGTTGTTTCAGAAAGTGTCACGATAACAAAATATAATTTCTATAAGAATAAAATGTAGTTATTTTATATGCTGTCAAATGCTGATTCAAGACCACTTAAAAAGTATACATAGGCACTAGTACTGCTACTAATTTGAAATTTAATGGCTGTTTTATCCTTGATTTGTCCTCTACTGCATGACAAATCTCAAGTTACCAACATGAGCTATAAGGACAGCTTAATTATCAACTAAAAGACTTATCAAACTTTTAATTCTTAGCATTAAGTAACTGCATTGCATGAATATTATTCACCCTTAAATAAGGGCGTCCACATGATGTATCTGAAGGGACAGCACTGAATGCTTAAACACATGATACTCGTCAGGATTCTCTGTCCTTGTGGAAAAAATTCTGCAAAGTGATTCAAAAAAACAAGAAAATGCACACACACAAACAAGCATACTGATTTCAGCAAAACAGAAGAGATCTTTCCTTTTTGGGATCAAATGTGTAGTCAAAGTCAAATACAAAGATTGATTTCAAAGTAAACAAAAACAAGGGCACTTACCTGGGACATGTGAGGAAGAACTCTGAACCTAGTTTCCTATGTCCCAGGTTAACACTCTCAACCAAGAGACAATCTGCTGTATCAAAACATTTAGATGCCTCTTTCCTTAAGAAACTTATTATGGAAAAAAAAATTGGAACATCACAAATTACCAGGATGGCAAAACTCTTATTAGCTGATCAGCTCTGACAAGACACCTGATTACTGGGCTGTCAGAGCAAAGAAGTTCAGGTTTCACCATGCAACTGTGATAAAAAGCATGCAAGACAGATCATCAGGAGCCCTCAGGAACTCTTTCCTCTCATCACATTTCTTCAGAAGTTTCAAAATACTGGATGGCCAATTTGAAAGGACCATAAAATGCACTAGCCACTGTTAGTATTGCCAGGAATTCCATGCAACAAGGGCTCCTCAGAGTTACACAGTCTAATATTATGTCCTGTGTTTTCACAACCAGGCACTTTCGTTCATAAACAGTACTACTAAATGCAGCTACCTACTGTGTATGTTTGGAAGAATGAAAAATCTCGTGTAAAATCCACATAAATCTGTTGCAGACTGTGAAGTCCCTAGATCTGCACTGAAGCAGGATCTCTAAATTCCTCCAGGGAGACACGACCCATGCAAAATAATGTTACTTCTCTTTAATACTAGTGCACATCTGAAAGAAAAATTCAAGCCACCTTCACGTTTTTAAATAAAATCTTATTTACAATAAGCTAATGAGTTTACCTGGCTTTGGAGCCGCCTGAGACATGAGCATCTGCTGGGTTCTAAATATTCGCCAGTAAGGCATTGCTGCAGAATGTGCTTTAGGTGGTAACACGTTGCCGAGAACAGGAGCCGAGCACCCGCTGACAGCAACGCGCAGAAGGCTCGCCATCTCGCACACACCTCCCTGCAGCCTCCTTGCCACGTATGGAATCCCTCCTGCACACGCAAAAACAGCCCACAGGAATTATTAATGATACTAGACAGAAGGTATGTAAACCCAGCGGCTTAAGCCCAGTCGACTGCCAGCAGCCATGAGATGATCCTTTGTGTTCGCCTTTTCTTTGTAGCTAGAAAACAAATCACGGTTTTCGTGGTTTGTTTTTTCCCCTCCCACCTGCTTAAGGCAGCTATCAGACCGAACCAACCGGCCCACGGGCAGGCTGACATTACAACTTGACCTAGAGATCATATTTCTGTGACTCAACACGGTGTTCGCTTTCCACCGTTGTTCTCCTACACGAGCAGCTCTGACACGTGAAAACTTCCTGCAATTCAAGGCATCGGACAAACAACGCGCAGCGCGGCCAGGGCGCCCAAGGAGTTACCCTGCGCGGGACACGCGGGGCCCAGGAGACACCGGGAGCGGGGCAAGGGGGCCGCGGGCAGG